TTAGATTTAGAAAATGTGATAAAAGTTGTATATATTTGTGTAACTGAATTATCAGAGTTCCAGTATTTAAGAGAACTTTCACTCTGTTTTCTCAGTGAGGGGAAACTCCTGACTTTCTACATGGGAAGGAGTCTAAAGTTCAGCATAGTATCAAAGATGGCACAAACAATCTCTCTCTGTGCTGGGTTCTATTTGACATTTCCATAGCTGAGATAATCGGTGTTAATGAAGATGGTGAAAAATTAAGGGAATTTTGGAAAACTTTGAAGGAAACTCATGAATGTTGATTAAACAGAAATGCTGTTAATAGTCTAACTTTTTTCCTCATGGAGCATGTAAAATACATGTACAATGAAAGCTAAACAGCCTCATAGGAATGTCAGGTATTTCAAACTTGAAACTAACTCTCAGGAACTAACTCGCAGAATATGTAGATTAAAAGCAACTAAGAAATAAATTCAAGACAATTTAAACATGCCTAAAGAAAAGATTTCTGTAGAAAGAAAAGCTAAAACCACTACATAGTAATTCCAAATTGTTGACACGTTTCTACTAAAGTTAACACATATAGCCTTAAGTTTAAATTCAGTGTTGATTTGCATGTAGCTTCTGTATTAAGTGAGTATACTTTAGAATGAATGTATGGAGATTGTCCTCTACTGCTTCAGCACAGTTCAAGTCACTTGCAAGAAGCAAGAGTGTGAAAGAAAGCTCATCTTGAAAAATGGGTAAATGCAACATTTAGGTAAGGAAAAATACTGACAAAATGTATTTATGAAACACCTTAGGCCTCTTAATTAATTTGCAGTAGTATAAACATGCTGAAGAAATTAGGCTATGGCATTAAAAAAAAAATTAATTAAAATTGGACAGTCCATAAGTGCTAATTTCTATATTTACATCACATTTAGTGAAGTAATTTGTAATTAGTAATACTTTCCACTAAATAGTGTATATAATGAAAAACTGTAGTCAAACTTCACTTACATTCCTGTTCTTCACTTACTTACATATTTTCATTTAATACTTTATTATATATGTCTTTCAATTCAGTAGCCTCCTTTAATTTAGAACAGAGTACTGTTAGTCAAGTGATAAAGCTGAATCTGAAAGTATTTTGTTATGCTCTTTGAAGTTTGATGCAGAGTATGGTTTTGATTCTAACAGCTGGACTTTTCCTGTCCAACTCCTGCCATCCCAAAAACCTTCAAACAATATTTGGTTTTATAGTGCAAGCCTCGTTCCTGTCTAAATGCAAATCCTTAGTTTGATAATGACTGAAAGTCATTCGTGAGGGCATAACCCCTAGTGTTGCTAGACAAGAATCTTGAAATAAAAGGTGTCCTGTAATAAAAAGTGCAGTATTTGCTATGCAAAGGACCTGCAGGATAGAAATAGCAGGTGCTAAATCTGGTAGGAAGGTTTATGTCAGATCTGGGGCCTTTGGGGAATATGTTTGTTAGGAGTCTGTGGGGAACTGTGCAAAGAAAATTAGAACATACTTGAACCTTTTGAAAATTGGGGCAATGCAAAGTCAGTAACTACCCCAAAGTAAGAAAGAGCATCTAAATCACTTAGTATTACTTTTTTTGTTCTCCCGTTCTGTTTCTGTCTGAATTCAGAAAATACATCAAGTGTTTAGATGTTGAGGGTTTTTTTTTCCATTTAAAAAAATATCTTTTTTACCATAGTGGTAAAAATATATGCTAGTTTTCAATTTACTAGAAGAAATAAGAAATAGGTGTATAGGCTTGAGACACGTCGTAGTATGCAGAAGTGTTTGCCCTTGGGAAATAGCTGCTCAGATGAAACAGCCATTCGGAGTCCCCAGAGGACCTCTTCATGACCTGCACTCTCTGGGTTTCCATCAGAAAGTTCAGGCTGTCAGGGGATGCCACTTCAGCACTTAGCTGGTCCAGGTGTTAGTGTCTGGCAAGTTGAACACATACAACTGTACATTCACATCAATGTATATGTCGTGTCACTCTTTCAATTTGTTTTTCTGTTTATCTCCCTTACAACCAGGAAGAGATTTTGCAATTTTATATACAGAAAAAAAAAATCTCTGGATTTGAAATGTGTGTTCTTTTATGGCTGAAGTATAAAACAACCAACAGTAAAAATTTTCTTCTGTGCTTCCACTGTTAACACACAAATTATGGAAGTAATTCTGTATCTTAATAATAAAGCAGGACTTAATTCATAATGAAGTTTCTAACATTTCTGGTACCTTTTTAAATCAATAAAAAGTGTAGTAGTAATGAGGAACATTAATACAACCTAAAATGCCTCATGAATTTTCCCCATACCTTACCTGTGAGTTGAAACCTTGTATGTTCAATACAGTTAACGCATAAAATGGGAATTTAAGGGGAACAACTCTCCATTTGGAAAGGATTGAGTTGTTAGCTGCTCTTTACCAGGTCTGCTTTTCATGTATTTTAAGACAGATAGAATGAGGCACCACAGTGTCAGCTTGACTCCTCCTACAAACTCAAGGGTTGTCCACACTAAGGAATAATCCTTGCTCTGAGCATGAGGTGTGATATAAGTGTATAGGGAACTTCCTGATATTGGTTCTTCTCCTAGGTCTGTGTAAACAACAGTATAGAATTTAAATAAATAAAAACCTGCCACTAGTAAAACATTAAAGCTATGGAAGTGCTAAACATTTTCTTGTCATTCTTACAAATAACACCTAATTAGTTATAAAAAAATGGAACTATCTTATTGAACTCCAGCATCTAGTCTTCTCATTGTTATAGTGACCAGTATGTAACTTTCTCCTTACTGTTTAAATTGATATAAGGAGTTGTGAAATTAATTTTTCAAAAAGAAAATACAGGGCAAATAGTATCTCCCTATATAAACTGAAGCAGTAGAACAAGGAATGTTCATGGTAAATGTTTTTAAATAGGTATAATTTTTGGTCAAAATTATTAAAATTAATTTTCTACCAGTAATTAATAGAGAGTTGGTCATAACAAGTAAGATTTCAGAATAGTTTTGATAACATCTGTCGGTCCAAAAGACAAATAGCAGTTAGTGTTCTGGGGTCTTTCTGTAAGTAACTAAACCAGCATATTATTCTCTCAGATAATTCTGTACTTTGGCATCTGAACGTAGAGTAATTATGACCCAATATTCCATAACGTATTTTGGATGAAGATAAATAAAAGTAATTTCTCAGCTATCCATTTCAGAGGCAGTTTTTAAGAAAAAGTGGTCTCATAGTTTAGATGAGAGGGCAGTTTAAGAACTTCACAGAAATGAGTCAGAAGGATTTTGTCTTAAACAGTAGCTAGTAAATCTGCATTGCTACTGGCTGAATCCCTTTTAGACAAACATCTACCTGTTTCTTTCTATATAATTGTCAAAATAGGTCATAATAAAAGAGGTGATAGTAGTAAATACAATTGCCAAATTATACTACCTATGAAATACGGGGGAGCTCTGTTTATAATGTTAAATTTATCCTCCCTTTTTTTTTTACATTCATCTCTTTAGTATTACATGAAAGGTAGATCTCATTAGCTTGTGGAATTGCTGCAGATGGCAAAGAGCAAAACTACCAATCTACATCAAATGGAAAATAAGAGAATATATGTTTTGATCACTAAGCTAATTCATACTACAAAGCAGGTGTTAGTATCTCTGAGATAGGGCAGAGGCAATGATCAGATCCTGCTTTTGATCTTAATCAGCCCTGTCCCTGTGGTATGGATTACAGATCCTTTGTTTTTTTTCCTAAAATGTGAACTTCTAAGGAACAAGGTTCACAGATTTCTAAATGAGAATTTCAGATCTGTAATACGTTGGAAGTGAATAGAAATAGATTTTGTTGTCTTAGAGATCTAACTCTTCAAGGTTCTGTTACCCCTAAGAGTGTTGGCTCCTGAACTGAGGAGTTTTCAATAGGAACTTCAGAGCACTTAATGCTTGACAGAGCTTTTGTCATCCTGCAGAACTAAGTTTTCCAGGTGATCCTCAGTGCAAGCTAGAGCTAGTCCCTCCTGGCTCCTGTCTGGTAGACTCTTGCATTAAAGCTGTGCAAAACATGAAAACTCCCTTTTTCACTGTGCCTGGCAGTGCAGGCTCGAGGCGCTAAATGCTATTTAGAGTAAACCAGCACCCAAGTGTTAAAACTTCACCCAGGTTCTTTATTAATCCTGCACAACAGAAAAATAATCCGAGGAGGCTGTGTATATGCATATAAAGGCATCATTTGATGTTAATCCTTAAAAAAGTTTTCCACTAAACCAAATCCTGTTTTCTTTGACTTTGGAAAGGACAAATCAGGATTTGTGCCGTAATGAAGTTTTCTGCATTTTCAAATATTAGTGTATTTAGCACTTTTCTTTTTGTGTTACTTGATTAAAAAAAAAAAAAAAAGAATTTTGCAAGAGAAGGTTTTTATTAAATTACTCATATATCTAGTTTATTCTCCTAAGATTCTGCAAAAGACTTGTCTATGTATTTGGATGACAGTATATGAGAATATACTGTGTCATTTTTTTAAATTAATAGCAGAAATTTAATTTTCTGATCATAATCATATTAGACATGAAAAGCAAAATACTTTACTTTCAATATCCTTCTTTCAGATGCACAAAGTAAATGGCAATTATTTTTTTTCAAGAAACGCTTTTTACATATTTTGCAGTAGTGCCCTTTAATATCTATATAAATATTGTTTTATTTTTATTAGCCTTCATAAACATATTGACATATCTGTAACACTAAACATGAAGCTTCCAATGCAAGAGTTTGTACATAGTCCATATCTGAATGTCACCATTATTTCATTTAAAAGATCCCAGCATGTCTACCTCATGATCCTTATAAACTCTGTAGTACTCAAATACCTCAACACTTTTTCTTGCTACATTCATTGAAATTAAGCACCCTTACCCTACCCCATCTGTAAACATCAAGTCAATTGGCAGCTAGCACATTTCCCAGTCAGCAAGCAGTATTGTGAATTTTATCTTCTCTTGCAGAAATCAATTCGTCTTCGTTGCAGCAGATGAAATTTCTTGTAACACCTCTGCAGGTAACAATCATTGATACTTCTTGATGCATCCATCCAGGTCTCAATATCCTTTTTCACATGCTGCATTTAATCGTAAGAGAAAGCACAGGAAAGTCCATAGTGTAAATCTTTGGAATAGTTTAATTAATTTATAATTTCAGCCTATAGGTTCTGCCATACAAAAGACATTAGGTTATTTTGCTGACTTTTGGTGTTTTATTTCCAGTTTACGTATCATATGGCCTAGTAAGTAAGGCTATGTTAAACCTTCTAATAAAGACTTACTCTGCAGCACAGTCAAGACTGTGACTCTCAAAAAGCCAACAAACAGAACTAATGAAAGCTTAGATGTATGTAGGACATTGTAAGTGCTATAGATTGAACAATTTTCTTTCCGACTCTTTGGGGGCAAATATTGCCCACAAGGGTACTGCAGACCCTAAAGCACTCACAAAGTCTATCCTATGGATAAGATAGTGGGAGAGAGGGTCTGGGTCTACAGAGGATCGCTCTCTAGTAAGTAAAAAAAGTCTTAGCTACTTTGCTAATATGCTATCGTGTTGTAAGCCATGTGTACAGAAGAATGAACAATGTTTTTAAAAAGTGATGGTAATTTATAAATATATTCAATATGTCAAGGGATTTTTCTCTCTTTTAAGCAATAGAGTTTGAACAATCTTAGTCTTAATTCAGGTAAGGATGGTATTATGTCAGTACATAAGAAACCAAAAGCTAAAGTAAATAGTAACAGTGCTGGGACATATTATGCCAATAATATTATGCAAAAAAAATGACTGACTTGATAGAAGCTGCCAGTACTGAGGGATGAAAGGGTACATAGTGTGCCACAAGATGTTGGTATAAAGAAGTGTTTATTTCCAGAGTTTTATATTAGCAGAAACAAGTGAAAGGTGAAGAGTTTTCTGTTTATGCCATACTGACCTATATATACACAAGTAAAGAGCATTTATTTATGGAAAAGAAGTTCATAGCTAAAGCCAAAGTATGTTAAAATTGTCATAATCTGTATGCTGGCCATAGCATTTTTGGTGGTAATCTGAAAAGTTCTTCTGTAATAAAACCTGATATAGAATAGATTTTGCAAAGTGCTGAATCCTTAAGAGAATACATTTCAGAAGCCAAATTTAACACCTTCTTGATCTCGATTGACTTTGATTTTGGCTTTCATTATCTTACTTGTGCTTCTTGCTCAGCTCCGCATTAGACTGAGCTGTAGTAGGGAGGCTACTAATTTATAAATCTAGGCCTTGCTAAGTAAGAATAAATATATTTTTTTCATCGATTGCTTAATTTGGAATTCTTGAGATAGACATGAGGTCTTTAATATTTTTCTTGTCCTGAAAACAATTTCTTGTTTGGCAGAGTGAACCCGTCCAAGCAATAATTATTTCTCTTATAAAGACATTTTTTTCCACTCAATTCATGCACAATTTAAGTGTCCAGGACTATGTCGTATGTATTCCATATATCACTACTTCGGTCCAGTCAAAAATATAGCACTTTTATTTATCAGTAAATTCAGTCAACTCTTTACTTTGTATAAAATGCATCTCCGTGTATATTTTTAAAAGCTTTTCAGTTTACCAGTTGATTATCTCTGTTGAATTGATTCAACAGTAAGGTGTTTTTGTTAGGTATAGTTTGGGCAGTATGATAAACGTATAGCTATTATAGCTGACTGTAGGTAGCTTTTTTTGTAATATGGTCTGAAGGAGAAAGCTAAGGAAAGCCTCTAACTTCTGTTTCTTGCACACCTGTTTTAGTAACAGAATTTAAAGGAATTTGGCTTTATAAAATAATAATAATTCTCTGGCCCATATTCCTGTGGTACAAGTTGCTAAAGTTGCATTCAGTCTTTCAAACTTGTAAACTGACTTAAACTAATTTATAATATGATGATTTGTGTTTTAGTACATGGAGTATATAGAGATACACAAACTTTTAGAAACAAAGTTAACCTTCCTGTGGTTTTCCAGATGCATGCAAAGCACTTTCAGTGTGGTTTTATAGCGCATGTTTTGGTGCTCCTAAAGTCAATTACGGTCATTCAACTGTGTTTGTAAAATTGATCTAAAGTGAAGATACTGCTAATATGCTCAGTGTTTGAAATGTGAGTATATGGATGTTTGTATTGTTTCCTTGTAAAGAATGTGCGTGTTTGCAGATTTCAAATAATAATATAAGTGAACATTTGGTTGGAATTTTATCATCAAATGGAAGTGGGAAATCTTGGGTGATTCTGCTCGTAATATTCACTCTTCTTCTCCTAGTGCTTCATCATTCCTTCCAGAGGATACTTAACTCTTAGCCACATGATTTATTTTTTTTTTTTCATTTGGGAATAAAGTAATCTTGAATAAATAAATGTGCTAATGAACGGATAGTGTGTCTATACACACACATTTGTATTTATGTGTGTGTATCTGTTCTTCCATGCACATTGTATGAAGGAAACCTGTTCAAGGATCTGACAGAGGGATCCTTCCATGGGAAATTTTAAAATATTTCACTCTTGATTGCATCCAGTGCATTCTGAGGCTAAAAATAATTACTCTTCAGAAGAGAAGTTCTGTGCTTCTGGGATAGATCTTCTCTGGCAGGCATGATTAAAGAGTGTGCAAATAGACCTGAACTAGAACAGAGTTTGTCCTATCAGTTTGATGATGGAATTTTAAGAAGGACGCCTGAAGATTTTTCTCTAGCAAATCTTTGACAATGGGTACGTTAGAGGAAAATTAATCCTGAGGTTCCTGGCTGAGGGGGGCAATGGGCATCTTACCCTAATAAGTCAGAATGAGGTCCAGAATAAATTAATGGTTTATATACATGGTGGTAACAAAACATAGTTCATCTTGAAACTTTAACATTTTTAATGAATTTTTCAAATCAGCGCTCAATATATTTTTTTTTTCTTTTAGGTTTTGTAGGATTTGTAAATTCATACTGTAAAAAAAAAAAAAAATCTTTTGTAGTGTCTTTTCCAAGTGCTTTCTAGAATGTACCTGCATTTTACAATTTGTGATTTTTGTAAACCAGGGCAGGATTATTATTCTATATTTATATCACTTTTTCTTCCTTCCTCCAATTTTTAACTCTTATCCAACTTCCATCTACAAATAAACAAACAGAAAAATCCAGTGCGGTTGCATGCCTGGTATTATTTTTCTCCCAAGTGTATATGCAGTTTATGATTTTGAAATAACAGAGAGGCAAGTGTATATATAAACCTGAATTTGGAATGAAGTGTGGTGGAAGTGGATATAACATCTGTCCAATTGTGACTGTATTAATTTACATATTTGAGCAGAATCATCCCCAGGAGGTGGAATTGTGTGTGTGTGTGTTAGTGTGCAAACGAAATGCATTATAAAGCTTTAGAAGTTGACAGTCTTAGATTAAGTTATTGACCTCCATTTGGAGAAAGATATGGTCTCCAAAATAGATTAAACGTTCTGAAAGGTTTAATTTTATATCTCTAGGGAAAATGTTTCATAAGAGCAGGCAGCTTAAAGAAGCAAATATAGGAGTTTGTACTACTGCAATAGTTTGAAGAGATTATTGGCATTTTTTAACCAATGCAATTGCTCAAGTTATTGCAGTTTCCCTGTATACTGTCATTAACCTGTCAACACTAACACAAATTTAATTCAGGAAACAATAACAAATATGGATATGCTTATTTTAAAACAAATTAATATTTTACAAAATGCTTGGAAGGGTTAAGATGCCTGTTGTGGTATTCCTCTGCTTCGCTACGTAACTAATTGTAGCTGGTCAAAATTTTGTCATACATGCTTGCATACATCTCATTGACTTATTCTTATGTCTGGTAGGAGATATTGATCAGATTATACATTCTTAAAGGAATTTCTGAGAATTGTATATAACCCAAACTGCTTTGGAAGAATGCAGTTTCAGAAGTATTTCCTTCAGCGTTTTTGAATTGCTGTGGAGACACGTTCAGCTGTGAGAGGCTTCTCCCTTTCAGTACTGCTGCCTGTGGGTTTGACTTCATTTCATAAAGCAATCTGACTGGGAAAATAACCATTTTCTATGAGATGCTTTTATTATTACATTATGCTTTTCCACTAATCAGATAAAATAAAACATGAAGATGAAGGAGAATCTGTAAGCTCTTTCTGCTAGTATTTATTTAAGGCTGTACTACTTTCCCTCTGAAAGATAGCACACACTGAATTTTTTGCTCTGGAAAGACTAGGAAATGTTGTACTAATGCACAGTATTAAACCTCTTCTATAAATTCATGTGTCCTTTATGTTGGCAGTTTCAACTTGCCTTTACTGCTGCTGTATATAGTTGCTTATATAGAACTGCACTTGTTACAGCTTTTACTGCTTTGGGTGGTTTTGCGGTAAAGATGTTCAGCTATTGGATCAGTTGATAAAAATCAGTAAACACTTCGATTATTCTCTGTTCTTCTTTCCTGAAGTTTGATTAATTCCTTTTTCTCACCCAGTGAAAACACTGGCAGCCCTTTTTGGCATCTTTGTCATTATCTCTTTGACAGCTTGCCTTCCCGGTGCTTGCAGTTCTAGGTCAGTTCGCTTGGCTAGTCAAATGTGACAACATGACAAGATTAAGTAAAGCTGAGGTTCTGTGATTTGTAAATGGAGGATTTGCAATGTGAAGCTCCTTTGATAACAGAAATAGTGAATAATCTGTGTTTGCCCTCAACAAGTGCGTGTAAGCATGTGTGCATCTTCTATACTGTTTTTTAATGAAGGAACCAGAATTTTTTTGCTGGTAGACTGAAAATAGGACACATGAAAGGTGGATTGTCTGTGTGCACGTATGCATGGTGTTACATATAAGTATGTTAGACAAGGATTCAGTTTTAATATCTTGAGATTAGCACAATACATTTAAAATATTAAACAGAAAATGATTACAGAACTTTACACACAAGTGCAAAAGACTGCTTTAAAATTTATTAAACAAAGTACACAGTGTAATTATTATTAAACTAGATAAGAATTTAT